ACGGCCCTTGCACTATATTAGGTACTTTGAGAACATCCCCAAGGGGCTGGACCGAGAAGGCTGGACTCGAGGCGGCATCCAGCCCCAGAAAGCAGGAGGCTACGCCCTCAATGAGCCGGTTACCCGCATGGATGCCACCCCCAACCCCACGGAGACCCTGCGGCACCTGCACCCCCATGTTGCAAGGTAGCATGCCCCCCTCAGCTCTGCCTCTGTCGCCTTTCCTCACTTGGCGGCCTCTTCCAGGCTGGCTCAGCCCTGTCGCCTGCCTCTGTTGTTTCTGTGAGGCCGTTTCCTCTGGCCTCCTACCTGCCCAGATTCGTTCCCTCGGCTCTGTCTAGTGAATGAACTGTGGGCCTGCCCCTCTTGTGACTCCTGCTCAGTTCTTCCAAACCTCCACTTGGACAGTAAAGGCTCCAGTTGGCAGGCAGAGAACGTCTGTGGTTTGGCTGTCCTTGTCTGGGCCTTGCAGGCTCTTGGGATCTCAGGGAGGGAGGCAGAGGAGAGAGGCGCAAGCCTGGTCACCCACCCTCTATCAGCTTCCTTTCTTCCCGCAGAACCTTGACTTCAGTTGACCCCTACTATCGAGACATACCTCATAGCAACCGCTACACGGCTTCCAGTTGAATCTGGAGGGGTAAGGGAACAGGATGCCCTCCTGCACCCACTCCCCAGGGGAAGACATCATTGGCCAGCTCCCTTCCCAAGCCCTGGCTTAAGCAAGGCTTTGAGGGATGGGAGTCAGGATGCCCTTTGTTTCTGCTGAAGAGTGTTCACCCTGGGGCCTTCCCTCAGACCTTGTCTTTGTTCCTTCTACCCAGGTTTATCATGATGGGGCAAGCTGCTTTCTCCGTGGTCCCCAAGATCCCCCAGTTACTTTCCTAAGGAAATAAAGAACACTGAATCCGCACAGCACTGCAGTCATTGGGCGGCAAGGGTGGTGCTCGGCAAAGGGATCGAGCTAGGGTGTGTCTGGATAGAGGGTTCAAGGCCAGATTTGGAGTCCCAGTGGCTCAGCAGACAAGATGCATCATTGGTTCCTGCCCTGTTGAGATAAGCTCCTCTGTTTGTGCTGTCTAGGATGGTGATCAGTCGGGCCAGGGTGGAGCTGGGATGCAGGGGAGGGGAGAGGTGGGCCAGAGGGCAGGCATGGTGAGGGGCCAGTTGCTGAGCTTCCTGGGTCTGGTTACCTCTCTAAAATGGGAACACAGATTAAAGCAGGACTTCCGGGTCCCACTTTTGGCCCCAGAAGAGAGAAGTCTATAGGGATAGGCCAGGGAAATGCCAGAGAGGTGGAGAGGACTCTGATAGATGGGCAGCTAGACACGTGCACAGGGTCGAGGGCTGACGACAAAGGCTGGGTCTCTCTCCCGCCAAGCAACCAGAGGAGGACAACATCTTCTGTGAGAATGAGAACAAGTTGTCTGTTAGAGGGACGCCTCACTGAGCACAGTTCCCAGTGAGCAAATGTGTGGGAAGACAGGGCAGCTGGACACCGGAGCTCCTCGCCTGCAAGGCAGAAGCTAGCCTGTCTCTCAGCACCTGTTGTCACTCAGCCAGGTACTTGTTCTCAGTACACAACTGTGCAACTACAAGCCCTGGTTCTATTAGCAACAACCCCTTGTACCCCAGGAGCCTAGATCCTAAAGAGGTATGTCAGTTACTCGGGGTCCTGGAGGGCAGCCAAATGGCAGCAGTCCTGAACTTGGGGGTGTCCTCTCATAGCCCAAGCTGGCATGAGGAGGGGATGGCCTCTCAGGGCCCAGCAGCCATCCACTACCCCTGTGTCCTTTTGTGCTTCTCAGTGGGTATCCACGTTGCAGTTTTGCTGGCCCTGGAGCCCAGCTGTACCCAGTGCAGTCCTATGTAGCAGGCCTGGGGCTGTCCACAGCCTGGCAGGGGCTCCATGTGGGCTGTGGGAGGCTCCAGCTGGTTCCAGGGTTGGAAGAGGGGAGTCAGGGACACATAGTCTCTTGGGCTCCAAACCCAACCAGACTCAGGGCCCAGGGACAGGCTCACAGGCTGTGCGTGGGGACTTGCTGGTCCGTGGCCTACAACATTAGGGGTGAGTCACCAACCCGAGATGGGCCTGGGTCCCAACAATGTCCCATCATAACTTCATAGTGGGGTGAGGGCACCCTCCTTTACCTAGCCCCTCCCTGCCCAAACACCACACACACACACACACACACACACACACACACACACACACACACACACACGCACACACAGGCACACACACACACAGAGGCACACGCATGCACGGACAACACAAAAGCACACACAAACAGTTAAAAAAAGGACACAGAGCCCTGAAGATGCCTGTATACAAACACACAGGCACATCTACGCCGACAAAATGTAACAGTTGCACACTTGGTCATGGTGGCACATATCTGAGGAGCACTGGTGAGGTGGAAACAGGAGGCTCAGGAATTTAAGATCACCCTCAGCTACACGAACCAGCCTGGACTACGTGAGACCTTGTTTCAGGAAAACTTAAAAAACAAAAACACAAATGACATGAGCACCTCTGGAAAGACAAGAAGAACATGTACACTATACATGGGTGTTCACACGAGCACCTAAGATGCTTACACATGCACATCTAGACACGGTGATGACCAAGGACATGGGTATGCAGACACATGAGAACAGACAAGGGGTGGGGGAGGGGGCTCAGTCAGAAAATCGTTCGGTGCACAGCATGAAGAGGAGTTTGGATCCCCAACACCCATGGACGAAAGCTGGGCACAGTGGCACGTGTCTTTGGTCTCAGTGCTGGGAAGGCAGAAACAGGAGATCCCTGGAGCTTCTGGAGACAGCCTGGCTGAATCCATGAGCTTTGGGTTTGGTGATAGACTATCTTAAAAAAATAAGTTGGGCCGGGCGGTGGTGGCGCACGCCTTTAATCCCAGCACTTGGGAGGCAGAGCCAGGCGGATCTCTGTGAGTTCGAGGCCAGCCTGGGCTACCAAGTGAGTTCCAGGAAAGGCGCAAAGCTACACAGAGAAACCCTGTCTCGAAAAACCAAAAAAAAAAAAAAAAAAAAAAAAAAAAAAAAAAAAAAAAAAAAAAAAAAAAAAAAAAAAAAAGTTGGAAAGCAACTGAGAAAGACATTCAAGGTAAAACTCCACCTCTCTCCTAAGTATGAATGCACATGCGTGTGTGCACACATGCACACACATACATACACCACAATACACACACACACAAATGGATGTGCATATAGCAACTTACAAAGCAAACACACACACACACACACTGACACACATGCACATCCACACACATGCACACACATACATACACCACACACACACACACACACACACACACACAAATGGATGTGTATATAGCAACTTACAAAGCAAACACACACACACACACACACACACACACTGACACACATGCACATCCACACACATGCACACACACATGTTCACCACCCCCAACCCCACTTCACTTCTCGAATCTGTTTCCCCAGGAGAGTCACTTTACAGCTCATGTTTCCTGCTTGTTCTATTTCTCTACCTGGCCCAACAGGAGACATGGTGTCTGTGTCAGAGACACTGGAGTCTGATAACACCCTTTCTCCATTGCTTCTCCTTATTCTGTACCCTGTATGCCCAGTTTCCAGGGCATGTGAGATGATGCACCCAATAATGATTCTTGAGCAGGGGCTGTGGACTCCGTCTCCGAGGAGTGGTGGAGATATACTGTGTGTTCCCTGACTTTCTGTTTCTGTCTGCAGCAGGGGCCACAGCCTGCTTCCCCGTAGACAACTCATGGGTCCTTGTTTGGGTCCTCTGGCCCAGTCCAAGAAACTCTGTGAGGACAAGGTAGCATAAGGTCCTGGGGGCAGGAAGGATGTCTAGGTCAAGGTCGAGCCATGGTAGGGTCCCTGCCTGGTAGGCCTGAGTTGTCTCAGGCCACACAGCCATAGGGATGTGAGTAAGGCCTGCTGGTAAGGGGTGGACTTGGAACCCTTCAGTGGCAGCTACAGCCTGGTAGGGTGACTCAGCCCCAAGTCAAGTTTGCTTCCTTAGAGGCCTTCGCAATAGGCCTAACGGGAGCTGAGGTGCGGGAGGACAGTGACAGATGGGCTGAGCCTGGGGCATGGCTAGGGCCTTAGAAATGGGTTCCCTGGAGAAGGCAGGCTGTTCAGACCTGAAGACCTTGCTCGTGGCCCTCCATATTCACCTCCTGGCTGGTAAGACTCAGCAGGGGCACAAACAGCATTTGTCTAGTTCACAACTGACACACCAGAGCCCAGCACAGTGCTGTCTAGAATGTTTGGAAGAACATGGATGGATGGATGGATGGATGGATGGATGGATGGATGGATGGATGGATGGATGGATGGATGAGTGGGTGGATGGATGGATAGATGGATAGATGGATAGATATATAGATGGATGAGTGGGTGAGTGGATGGAATTATACTGTCTGCCTGTGGAAGTACCAGATGTGTGTTTCTGGGTGTCGCCGGCCCTGACGATGACGGGATGTTGGTCAGCAGACATCTCCTTGCATCTGTGCAGCAGACAGCTGAGGCTCTTCTGCGCTCCCTGCCAGCCTCCTTGGCTGTGACCCTCAGGACGTCTTCTGTGCTCTTTTTGACGGCACTGCCCTTTTAGCCTCCCCTTCCCTGTCATCCAGCCTCTCTGATCCTAGCAGCTTTCCTGTTGGGGCGAAGGGACCCTACATTTCAACCTGGTGGGTGAGCAATTAGTCTGTCTAACCTGGCAGGGAGGCTGCCTCTCTGCATGGCTGGGCCCCACCTGTTCCCAGGGTCACACTCTGCCAGACCTTGGCGGCAGCTGACTACCGTAGATCTTCCAGAATGCTTCCTTCCCCACGCTATAGACATCTTAGAAAAGGCTCTAGGGGTGCCATGCTCATGATTAACCTTTATTAAGCTCCCACGGCTTGCCAGGTGCTGAGAATATTCCGTGGGCCTTCCCTCTGCAGCTAGAGCACAGAGTGTCTCCCTGTGGGGGCACGCTGAGGACACATGTAGGCAGGGTGGTGACGGCATTAGGGTGGGGGTGCAGAGCAGGGCAGAGAGGGAGTGAAGCTGGGTCAGGCCGTACCTCTTACGCACAGGGACATGTGTGAGGCTGCTGCCCGTCACAGCAGCATGGCAGCTGATGTTGACAGGTACCATCTGGCCTGGAGCACGTGATGACGCAGAGCCAGCAGCTCATGGGCTTGACAGCTGGCCAGCTGGGAAAACGGGGCTCCCAGGAGAGTGAAGAGGGGGTTTGTTCACAGGCATCTGTCTGTGGGAACTGGAGGCTCTGGGCGGGCTGGGGGCTGAGGATGGTGGGCATGATGCACACAGGCAGATGGAGTACATGAAACTTCTCCGATTTCCTCTCTGACCATCTGGAGAGCCACCCATTCCCCGGGAACTGTTCCCCAAACAACCACACACGCAGAAGGGAGGGATGGGACCACGGGCCGCCCACCCAGGGTTTCTTTTGAAGAGTCAGGGCCCCTGAGTACTTCTGCCTTCCTCCAGGTGCCGCTCCAAACAGATCTGCCAAAAAAAAAAAAAAAAAAAAAGTCTTTGAGGAGCACATGTCCTCCCCCAACTCCCAAAGACCTTTGGAATAACCAGGTCAACCTGAGTCAGAGAGAAGAAGCCACCTGCCCAAAGTCATGTGACTTAGTGAGCACACACTGTCTCTGGACCTTCTTATCAGGTCACTTAATTGGGGGCCTGGGATGGGCAGGAGCCTAGGAGCTTCTCATTTGCAGCCAGTGACAATAAAGGCTTCATTTACTTTTGTGCTAAATGAAGAGGATAAGAGTGTTAGGATGTGTAAGGTGTTTGTGTGAAGTCCTAGGTAAACAGCCACGTCAGAGAGGCATCTGCCCACCTGACCTAAGTTCAGATGATGCTAAGCTGTTTTCAGCAAAGATGTTAAGAGCTTCAGGGTCCAGTGACAGGTATGTACCCTAGGCATCCAGTCTTACAACAGTCACCTTCTCCCACTGGGCCCTGGCACCATAGGCAGAAGGCTGACACTGACAACCCAGGACAAACTTATTTCCGGGCCCCCAGAAACAGCATCTGGTGGCACAGAGGCTCCTTGGTTCACAGTAGAAGGTAGGTGTAGGGTGAGGGATGGGTGGGGGTGGCTCATGTGACTCCCAGAGTGATAGCAACCTGGGTCTCAAAGTTTCTTGAAAGATACAGAAACCAATTTGATGGCCTTATTTTATATTTTAAAACGATACTTTATTCATTTATTTTGTGTGGGTGGGGGAGGTGAGCACAAATGTGGCACAGCTTGGGTCAGAGGACAACTTGAAGGAGTTGATTCTCTCTTTCATCATTTGAATCTAACTCAGGTCATCAGGCTTGGGGGCAGGTGAATTTTCCCTCTGCACATCCTGCTGGATGCCCTATTTTATGATTTTTGGGAATCAGAGTCCCACTGTATAGTCTAGGATAGTGTCAATCCTATAACAATCTTTTTAAATAATAATTTATTATTTTTTAAATTTTATGTGCATTGGTGTTTTTCCTGTATGTATGTCTGAGTAAGGTTGCTAGAGTCCCTGGAACTGGAGTTACAGATAGTTGTGAGCTGCCATGCAGGCGCTTAGAATTGAATCCAGGTCCTCTGGAAGAAGAGCCAGTAATCTTAACTGCTGAACCATCTCTCCAGCCCCTACGATATCCTTTGGCCTATGACATCCTATGATAATCTCTTGGCATCAATCTACCAAGTGCTGAGATTGCAGAAAGCTATGATGCTCCAAATGCAGGACAGTCTGAATGTACAAACCATCCCCTCCTCACCACACAAGAAAAAAACATAATTAAAATATTTTAGAGGTTTTGAACTCTCATATAATCCTCAAGTGGATGTGAGGACAAGGCTTAGAGGCACACAGTCATCTTCTATGGTCCTGAGCTCCCCTGCTGCTCTGGATATAGCCCTGGCTGCTACTCCCCTCCATCAGGTAGAATCCTGCTTGACTGTTCTCCCTTCTGTTTCAAAAATCTGTGTGGTACTTATTGGGGGACACGTAGGTCACATACCTGTGCTCAGCTTTCAAGGTATGTTGTGTGTCTTAGCTGTCTATTGGTGTGATAAAACTCCATGACCAAAATCAACTGGGGGAGGTCAGGGTTAATTTCTTCTTACAGCTTGTACTCCATCAGTGAAGTCAGGGAAGAAACTTAAGGCAGGGATCTGGAGGGAGGAATTAAAGCAGGGGCAGTGGGGGAGAGCTCCTTACTGGCTTATCCCTTGTGGTTTACTGAACCTGCTTTCTTATGGCACCCAGAACTATCAGCCCGGGGGTGGCACCACTCACAGTGAGCTGGGAGGCTACATCTCACTATGTAACTGAGGACGAAGCTCAGTTGATAGAGTGCTTGCCTAGCACACACAAACCTTGGGGTTGATCTCCAGCACTACTTAAAGTCGGTGGCGGCACATGCCTGTAATCCCAGGAGTTGGAAGATGGCCACAAAAGGATCAGCAGTTCAGGGCTAGCCCACATACTGAGTTCAAGGCCAACCTGGGCTATAGTATGTGAAACAAGGGAGAGAAGAAGGGGAAATTAGATAGATAGATAGATAGATAGATAGATAGATAGATAGATAGATAGATAGATAGATTTGTGTGTGTGCATGTCTTGGTCTGTCAGTAGCTGGATTTAGCAAAGATATTAGTCTAGTTATTCCCAGTCTCACTCCATTTCCAGTGAATGGATCTACCCTTAAGGTCTCAAATCCAATCGGGTCAGGATTTCTGTCTTCTTCCTTGTTGTTTCCTTCTCCCTAGGGAGTGGACTACCTTCCACACAGCTTGTAAGCCGGAGAGACACACCTATTCACATGGCTTTGTCTGGGCTTTAAAAAAGCCTTTTCAAAGGAGCATGGTGGTTGGTGGTGCATGCCTTTAATCTCAGCACTTGGCAGGCAGAGGTAGGTAGATGTCTGAGATCAGCCTGGTCTACATAGCAAATTCCAGGCCAGCCAGGACTACATAATGAGACTGCATCTCATAAATAGTAAATCAACCAACCAATTGATAGATAGATAGATAGATAGATAGATAGATAAATAAATAAATAAATAAATAAATAAATAAATAAATAAATAAATAAATAAATAAATAAAGTTATCATTGGAGCTGAATTGTAAATGACCCAGACTGGGTTCTCAGCACCCACATGGCTGCTCACAAACATCTGTAACTCCAGCTCCAGGGGACCTGATGCCCCCTCTGGCCTCCTCAAGCACCAGGAAATCTGGTAGTTAAGTGGTCACATGTGACGGCAAGAAGCACTGCCTCCTTTGGGTCGTATAGCCCAAGGTGATAGGTAGAGCAAATACCACTACATTTCCCCTTTTTGTCTAAATAAGAAGGTTCTAAACCTAATGTAAACTATATACAATAAGAATGACTATCAAATATTGCCCAGGAGAAGCAAAGGGTAATAAATAACATAAACAAAAATGGAACTACAACCAACAAGAACAACATCAAACAAGAAACACATGCTAAATGTTCAGAAATGTCCAGATCATAAGTAAATGGCAAATTACTGAGATTACTCCAATAGCTGTCCTATCCTGAAGAATCTAACTCTAGCACCTAATATGTTCTTAGCTAATACATGAGAGGATTGTAACTGTAACTATCTAGTCTTCAAATCCATCAAAGACCTGAGAAGGAAAATAATATTACCTGAGAAAACAGGAAATGTAAGCAAGCAGCTTCCAAAAAATTGCTAGAATAGACAGAGACAGCTGACAGCCTGGACAGTCATCTAAAGATTCTCAGCACCATTGGGGCATCCATTTTGGCCTAGAATATCTGACAGACCGTTTTCAGAAGCAGGAATTTTGAAAGACCATCTTACCCTGTCTTGGCAAGGTTCAGTAGTCACTTTTCCTTATGTCCTGCTCGTCTGGAAAGGACAGCATTTACACCGTCGGCAGTCAAGGCAAGGGCAGTTTTTTGCCCAGCAGGCCGTTTTGTGCCAAGAAGAAGACAAACTTCCATACAGAGTGTCTTTGAAGCTCAACATTCTCTCAGGAGTAGATGGGTGCTGCCAGGAGCAATCGTGTCTCACGTCAATAGAATCCTAAGTTATCAGAACATTTAAATGCCATGTTCTCTAGGTCTATGAAGTGTTTGAAGATTACCTATCCATCTGACATATATTTCTGTAAATCTGGAAAACTTAACTAACATAACTGTAGATATGACAATCATGGGTGACTATTAATCTGTAAATTTTATCTACTTAAATAAGCCAAGGACTAAGGCTTTACATATCAAGGTAAACAATCTGTAAATAGATGTACAGTATAAGGACAAAATTGTGACAATATACAAAATATCTTAAACAGAGGTAGAAATGTACAGTGCAATATGTTAACAATAACCTAAATATGTATCAATATACAAAATATCCTAAGCAAAGGTAGAACACACAGACAATATGACCATTATATTATATTGTATCAATATACAAAATATTTCACATAGGAGTAGGAATATGTGTACAATACGACAATTATAGTTCTGAATTTGTATCAATATACAAATTATCTTAAATAGGAGTAGAAAAATAGTTTACATTTGTATCTATATATAAGAATCCATACCAGTGCAAATTATCTAAGGCTGATAGTTTGCTAAATTAGTTTACTAGTATATAAAAAAAATCTACCTTAGTATGCTATACCTATCTATTCCCCTTTTTTCTTTTCCAAAAAAGAATCCTGAGTCTAAGTTTTATTGTCCCCACCCCCAACCCTATAACAACTTATCCATAACCCTGAGAAAATGAAAATTTTGGGAGAGGGGCATTGTTTTCTTAAAATTGCTTCCTGCTGTTTAGGGGATGATGGTATCTCTGTGGGATCCTGTAAGAAAGCCAAATGGTTAAGTCTCAAGAGTAACAGTTGTAATGTTTGTAGCCAGTCTCAGAGTAACAGGTAAGGTTATCTCAGATTCTGGCTAGAAGTGTAATATGATGGACCATCTCCTCTTGGAACTGTCCTGAAGAGTTTGCAGTCCAAAGCTGATCATTGAGTAGTGTTTTTTGGTTCAATGGCATCATTATGGACCAGGTAGAGTCGTTGTTGTGGAATCCCATCTTCCTTCTGGAGACTTCAGAGATTGCTATTGGAAAGACTTATTTTTCACTGTGGAAAACTTGAGAGGAGAGAAATGGCTCAGTGGTTAAGAGCACTGATGTTCCAGAGGAACCGGGTTCAATTCCCAGGTTGTCTTGTGTCCGTCCGATCATGCTTGATAAAAAATAAATAAACAAAATAAATAAAAGAAAGAAGGGACTATGTGACCCCTCCTTTTTCTCTCTTTTAAGAGGTCACATACAATGGCAAAAAGCACTGCCTCCTTTGGGCCATATAGCCCAAAGTCATGAGCGGAGCAAATACCACTGCAGGTAGTATACATACATGTTGGAATCCGCCCACAAGTCCACTGGGTATCTGGGTGGAGGTATGTGGATTGTAAAAACAATGAAGAAGACAGAACAGAGTCAAGAGGACTGCCAGTCAATGCCGGACAGCCCCAAGTTTACTTCACAGCCAGCTTATACACAATCTTGAAGGACAGAGGTAGAACATTGCACAGCCCAGGCATTCAGCCACTATCTATCCTGTCCTTGAGTCAAAGAGCAGGTAGTTTCATTTTCTGTCTCGATGGACCTCTGGCTGGTGTCAGCAGCCTGCGTATAGCTAAATAGTATGTTCCTCCCTGTGGGCTAATCAGAACTTTCTCAAAGCCCTTCAAGAGACTCTGTGGGCTAATCAGGACTTTCTCACAGCCCTGGAGCAAGCAAGCCTGAACTCCATTGACTCAGAATAGACTTCAGATTCAAACTGGGACACAGTCCGTTGTGGGCCCCCACAATTCCTCTTTTTTATTTATTTAAGACCCCACTGAGTCTCTCAGATGACTATGCCTGTCTTAAGTCGTTCCTTGCCACACTCCAATCTTACCCATCATGGGAGCATGAATTCCATCATTCATGTCTTGTCTTAGGTTGAAAGGAGGCAAGGAAAACTTACTGTCTTTGGCTACCAGCCTCTGGTATCATAAGTCAGAGGAATGTGCAGAGTTTTACTTCATGGAGTTCTGAGCCCAGTCTCCATAATGAGTTCATAATCAGCTTGAAAATCATAGGCAAACAGATTATGTCTACTAAGACACATGCTCCAATTACTACAGCACTACTTAAGAGCAAAGTAAATGATGACCACGATAGAATAACCTTTTTGAATTGTTCTAAAATATCTTCAGCTGTTTTAGCTTATCAAAAAATCCACTTTAGCCTTTTTCATTTCTATAATCTCTTGATGTAATTTAGCCAAATCTAAGGATTCATTAGAATCATGCCAATTCCTTTAAGATGTGCCTTAACTCTTTCCCATCCAATAGCACTTTCATTATACACAGAAGATGTAACACAAATTCATTCATAATTAGCATGACATTTCAAATGCACTTTTGTTTTCAGGCTTTGGAGTTCATCTCCCAGAAACTGTACTACATCATACAAAACATTCAATTTCTGTTCCATTTTCACATCTATACCTTCTTGAGTCTCTAAGGTTATAGGAACATTCATAGACAATTGATTAACAAACCCTGCTGTCTGAATGGATTGAGACAAAGGCCACTGAAGCAACAGTAGTAGCAGCAAGCATAGTAACAAGAGCTGTAATTCCTGCTATAACTAATCCAGCAACAGGCTTCTGTCTGTAACCATGTAACCCTTTATTATCAAACCATGGATCACTCATATATACTGACAATATCACAAAAGAAGGTTGTTTTAACACTATTACATGAGTATGATTATCCATTTGAGAAATACAATTAGTCAAATTATAATTAAGACATGATACATTAAACATAAAACTATTCATAGAAATATTTGCTTCACCAACTAAAAGAACTTAGGGCAACTTAACACAAGCTAAAACAGTTCCTTCCAGAGGACAAACAGGCTTCAAGTGACTGGAATGTCCTGTTACTGTTCCCATGGTGGCAGCAAGTTTCCAAACATAAGTTTGTGGAGATCCAGTACTGGAATACCAAATTTCACCTGACAGTCCTTGGTCCCAAGATTCTGCTGTAGACACAGGATAAGAGTCACTATAATCATCTTGATTTCTGGACTAGTCAAGAATATGTTACTGTGTCCCTGTGATGTTATACTTTAAAGGAACAATGCCAGAGAACAATGTATATTGCTTAGAGAACAATGTATATTGTCTCCATAACAAGGTTCTGTTAGACTCTCGAAACTCTTTTGTGCATTGAGGGGGGTGAAATATTACTTATTCAATTATCTTGAGGAAAAAAATAACTTTGTATTATGTGTACATTGTTTATCATGTCCCAATACTTGTTTTGGAAACACTCCAAGACATCCTTTTGCAAAAAAAGTAATATATTTTTTTTTTTTGCAAAACATACAGTAATCCCTTTGCCATATCCAATATAAGAAAAATTGCGAGCAATCTGGAACACTTGGGTGGCAGGTGGATCTAAAAGCCTGGTGTTATTGCTTTTCCTTCCCAAGTTGCAGGATGTAAAATTGGTGGATCAGGAACATAAGCCCAATAGGTCTCATTCTGACATCTCTGTGTGGTCATCAGCAATATCAGGATCAGCATCTCTCTGCTCCATACACCGACAGCCAAGAAGCTTCATTTTCATCCTGTGAAAAACACAAACATGCCCTCATCCCCGTATTAATACAGGGTCGAGGCCCTTCCATAAACCAGTACAAGGATCTTTCTATTTGACGTGAGCAAATTTTGCGATGATGCTTCATGCCAAGACTGATATCCTGATTTTACAGAAGCATCCACATTTAAAAAATTTAAAACAAATAAAGCATGACTTAATACATTATGTGATGACTGACTGAGGGTCTAATTCCCTCTTCTTTATTTTTTGAAGGTGTATTTTGAGGCTGCCATGAGTTCTTTCAATGATACCTTGTCCTTGAGGATTATAAGGAATACCTGTTTTATGCTCAATTTGCCATTGAGAACAACATTGATAAAAGGCTTTACTAACATATCCAGATCCATTATCAGTTTTAATAACTTTTGGTATTCCCATATAGGAAAGACATTTCAGGCAACGAGCATTTACATGCTTGGTAGCCTCACCAGTTTGAGCAGTAGCCATTAAAAATCCTGAGTAAGTATCAATTGTTACATGCACATATTTCAGTTTTTCAAACTCTGTAATATGAGTAACATCCATTTTCCATAAATGATTCGGAAGATGACCTCGAAGATTTACTCCAAAATGAGGTAAGGAAGATATTATGGACATGTAGCACATTTTTGACATTTTGACAAATGGTTTTTCTTGTTAAACCAAATTGTTTTCTTAAGCTTTTACTCTTTTGATGATGCCACGCATGTGATCACTGAGCAAGCTAACTTGAGATAAAGCAATCAACTGAGTAAATTTATCAGCTAAAGCATTACCTTCAGCCAATGGACCAGGAAGATTTGAATGTGCTCTCATACGTCTCACAAAATATGGCAATTTTCTTAAATGAATGACATCCTGAATTTGTTGAAATAATGTTCTTATTTGCTCATTAGTAGTTTTAATATAAGAAACAGTTTCTATAACTTGAAGAGCTCTATAAATATAATGACTATCTGTATATAAATTAAATGAACCATCTTTAAGAACTTGAAAGACTATAGCAACAGCTCGTCAACTACTTGAGCTGAAGCAGTAGTAGTCTAGATTACATATCCTTTTCCATTGATTACATAGGCTGCTTTTCCATTAGATGAGCCATTAGTAAAATCTAAAGCAGCATCTTTCACTGGAGTTTGCATTATCACTTTAGGGAAAATAAAAGAATGCATCTAAGCAAATTGTAATAATTGATCAACAGGATAATGATTATCAATTTAACCCCATAATTGAGCAAAAGCAGTTGCCTAAGAATCATTATTTTGAAATAGCCTATCAATTTTGTTGTGAATGGCACACCAATAGTCTCAGGCTCTTTGCCAAAATATCTTCTAGATTCAACTTGACTCTTTTTGCACTAGACATGCTATAGCTTCATAATGTGGATAGAATACTTTAGCTGATGAAGCAGGAAGGTGTAAACATAAAAGTGGACCATTTTTGCCATAATACGACTGCAGGAGCAAGTCTAGTGGGCAGGATATATGCTTGCCAAAGTTGATCATAATCGATATAATATACCTGCTGATATTGAATAGCATTCTCAACCTGTGAAAGAACCTGTCTTCCTTCTTCAGTTAACTGTCTGGGTGAATTAGGATCATTATCTCCTTTTAAAATATCATTCAAAGGCTCTAATCACCAGTAAGTGATTTTATATAAGATCGTAACTACTGAATAACCCCTAATAACTTTTGAAAATCATTCAAAGTTTTAAACTCATCTTTTCTTATTTCCAATTTCCGAGGCTTTAATTCCTTAGGATATAATATATGTCCTAAACATTGTAAAGGCAGAATCATCAGCTAATTTTTAAAATGAAGAAAACTAACCAGAATTAATCTAATATTGTAAATCCCCAATATATGCTACGGTTTCCCTTCAAATTCAGCAGTGTTCACATCCCCTCTGGCCTTCTGCAACTTCCCATGTGCCTTCGGGTCAGGCCTTTCACTGTGCTTGCTCTTCTGGACCAGCCAGACATAGACAAATTCCTCTTTCCCCTTTCCTTTCCTTGTTCCAGTCTTTTGCCTTCTCTTGCTTTTCAAACAATTATGCAAATTTCCATCCAAATCCTTTTTTCTTGTGGTTTCTTCCCTGCAGTTTAGAACATTGCATAGGTATAACATTTCAAAAAAGAATAGAAGCCAGGTGGTGGTGGTGCACACCTTTAATCCCAGCACTGGGGAGGCAGAGGCAGGTGGATCTCTGTGAGTTCAAGGTCAGCCTGGTCTACAGAGCGAGTTCCAGGAGAGGCTCCAAAGCTACACAGAGAAACCCTGTCTTGAAAAAACCAAAAGAAAAAAATAGAAACATATATATGCGTATATCATAACAAAAAAACTTACGTTTTCATTAATATAAAAAAACCTGTATCAATGTGAAACATTTGAGATTAGCGGTAGTTTTTTTTAAAAATCTTAACCCATAATAATTTGTAACCAATTCCCTTAAATGACGACAAATATTTGTAACCTATTGAACTCAAATGACCAAAATCCATGTAATTTTTCTTTTCCTGTGGAAGCAAAAGCATAATTTCTCCCAAACATAATGTACTTTGACTTTTGTTCTAAAATCAAAGCTTTTCAAAGTATGCAGGCTGGTAAGTCAACATTTTTTTTTCAAGCAGTATCAGGACAGAGAAGGGTTGAGGTGGGAAGCTGCTGGCCAGCAGAAGAGACCTTGAAGTTATCACAGTGAAGAAGAACCTGGCTTAGGAAGGAAGGGAGGGGGAGCAGTGGGCACAGAGTGTGCCCTTGGCTGCCAGTGTTCCTGAAAAAGAAGTTTTTGGCTCCTTTGACTATAATAATAATTAACAATTAAGCCCAGATTCTCTGGCAGGTTTCAGCACGGCTTGTCAGTTGTAGACAGTAAACTCCCTGCTACTTCACCTGTAACTCCTGTCTCTGCCCTTCCTGCTCTGAGAACGCACAGCCTCACCCTCTGAGAGACACTGACTGGATGCAGGCTTCTCTTGCTGGCCAAGACCAGCTCTACCTGTGCTGTAGGCCTAAGAGAGCTACCAAAGAGGGAGGCGGCCCTTGCCACGCCCCTCTCTCCTTCTCTTCCAGGAAAATGAGTGAGGTTAGTAGACAGAAACAAGTAAGACTTTCACAGACAGCCAAGTACCAGTACATCAGCACTGAGACGATGGCCTCATCTAACAGATGGCTTCTCTTGTAATACACAAGCCCCACCTGGCAGGAGCTACCTGCTTATCTCAGTTCAGTGGGGGGACCCAGTCCCCTTAAACACATGGAACAGAACAGTAGCATAGTAACAGTCAGAACTCAGACCAAGACAAAGAGTGCTCACATCTACATTTACCAGCCAGCTATGAACAGATTGGAAAGTGAGACACTGGACTAATGGTTTGCAGTAGTGACCTGCTTAATCTTTCCAGAAAAACCATTCATAGTCAGGAGTGAAGTTGGGGTAGAATCTTGAGGTGGGGGAGAATCTTCATTATAATACGTAGCAGCCTCTTCCTCTAATTCTGCCTCATACCAGAATCTAACTGGCCATTATCATTAGGTAACTTTATGAAAGCATCTGCATAAATCAATCTCTCTGGCAGAGCAGAATGTTTAGTGTGCATTTTACTTGATTCAGGAAACATTTTCTGTCTGTCAGAACAAAGATCTAAACTGTCCCAAATAAGTGTCCAGAGACTAAAGACATCTGTTGGAAGCTTTTCTGGACCAGGCTTATTATAATACCTCTGTATTTTAACTCTAATATGTCTCTAAGTATCTGCATCCAAGGTACCCTGCCCAGGAAACCAAGGACAAATTTTTTCTACAAATTCTAAAAATTTACACAGTTGCTGACCTCCTGCTTTGGTACCTCTAGCCTTTAAGATATCTTTAAGTAAATCTACAAACAGCTGTTGTCTATTTCCTTGACCCATACTTATTTTTTACACTTATTCTCAATTTTTTTTTTTTTACCGCGCATCTGCTTTTTTATTTACACTTATCACTTTTATTCTCAAGTCGTATTTACCTTGGCTCCCACTTTTTTTGAGTTCACTCCTTTTTCTCCTGTGATGTCCGTCACGAAATCCCCTGTGCCCAGCCCCCACAGCAGGCACTACCTGTTAGAACCTCCCGGTGAGTCCACTGGGTATCTGGGTGGAGGCATGTGGATTGTGGAGACAATGAAGGAGACAGAACAGAGTCAAGAGGATTGCCAGTCAATGCGGGACAGCCCTGAGTTTATTTCACAGCCAGCTTATATACAATCTTGAAGGACAGAGGTAGAACAATGCACAGCCCAGGCATTCAGCCACTATCTATCCTGTCCTTGAGTCAAAGAGCAGGTAGTTTCATTTCTATCTCGATGGACCTCTGGCTGGTGTCAGCAGCCTATGTCTAGATAGATAGTATGTTCCTCCCTGTGGGCTAATCAGGACTTTCTCACAGCCCTGGAGCAAGTGAGCCTGAACTCTCTATCAGAATAGACTTCAAATTCAAAATGGGAAACTGAGTCAGTTGTGGACTCCCACACATACATACATACATACATACATACATACATATATACATATATACATACATACATACAGGCAAAACACTCATACCCATAAAATAAACCTTTATAAAAATTATTGTTATTAGTGTATATGTGTGCATCTGCATGGTGTGTGTTTGTGTGTGGTGTGCATCACAGCACATGGAAATCAGGGAGCAGTATTGCAGAGTCAATTCTCTCCACCTTTGTAGTTCTGGGATCAACCTCATGGAGTCAGGCAAGCAAGGTGAGCACTTCTTCTTCTTCTTCTTTTTTTTAATCTGCTGAGCTATCCCCTTGGCCCAGTTTGGGCTTTCTTGAGACAGGGTTTCATGTATATCAGGTCAGCCTCAGACTTGTTATGTCATTAAAGCTGGCCTTAACTCCTGATCCTTCCGCCATTACCTCTCAACTGATGGGATGGCAGGTGAGTGCCACCACATCTGACTGTTGTCTCTGTGTCATTCATCACGACCATCCTCCTCCAACTGCCCAGATAACCTGGCCCATCATTTCTAGGGTCACAGAACCACCCCTGCCGCTGGCTTATGACCTCTACTGCTCAGTCCCTTTGAGCTTGCCACCCTGGGCCTTGACACACCAATACCCATCTTGGAGCTTCAGAAACATCTGCTTGATACTGATGGGGAAAGAGTCATGGGAGAGCTAGCTCGCCTCTGCCTCTGCTCCAAGGCTTCTGTGATAGGCAGAGGCGGGTCACAATCTCAGGCCTCAGAACTGGTGCCCTGTTTAGCTGGTGCCCCCCCCCCCTACAGATGGGGCTTCTTTCTTAACCCCTTAGGCCTCTTTCCTTGGCATCTGTGAGGTCAGGGCTCCTTTCCTTCTCTCTCACCTGCAGGTCCAGCCTCAATAGTCGTCTGGGTAGAATCTTGGCTTCTGTGATGATGCATGCTGTCCCTCTCCAGGGCTTACGGCATCAGCTGTCTGCTCTTCAAGTTCAAAGGCAGGCTTTTGGACCTACAAAATTCTTTTTCTCAATCAAACCCTGGCTGCTGTAAGACTCTGTAGTCTCAGCTCTGGATTTCAAAGCCTCTTTTGCAACTCTGAGCCGAGGATTTGCCTCTTTGTTCTGGTTGCCCTGGAGAGCAGCAGGCTGGGAAGCCAACTCGGCTTAAGAATGGAGGGGAGTGGATGGAGGAAAGTGTCTTCGGAGGAACCGCTGGTCCTGAGTTAATGCCTCGCTTGACCAGCCACCCAGCCCTGAGCTTCATGTAGGACCCCGCCCCCCAGGGCAGAGTGGTTCTGCCCTTTGTGGACTGGAGGAGGGGGAGAAGGAGGCCACACTTTAGAAAGTGCCAAAAATCAGGTTAATAGATGCCTCAACAGGTAAGAGCGCCGACCGACCAAGCATGAGGTCCTGAGTTCAAATCCCTAGAGTTAGGGGTGGGGAGATAGCTCAGTGGTTAAAGCACTTACCTCACAAACAAGAGGACCAGAGTTTGGCTCCTTAGAATTTAGATAAATGCTGGGTGGCTACCCCGCCCCCCATAAATACAGCCTCAGAAGGCAGAAACACAGAATCCCCAGGGGAGGCTCTGGGTTTAATTGAGAGACCTTGCCTTATTGAATAAAGAGGAGGAGTAAACAAAGAGAATTCCCAACATCAACTGTGGTCCTCTGCATAAATGCACACCCACATGAACAAACACTACCCACACGTATGCCTTTATATACACACATATCACACACAACAGAGAGGGGTGAGGGAGAGACAGACAGAGACAGAGAGATAGAGAGAGGGGGAACCCAGAATCTACGTAAGAACGTGGGTATGGATCTACGCACCTGTAACTTCAGAGCTGGGGTAAGCTGAGGGAAGGATCACTGGAGTTTGCTGACCACCAGCCTAGCTCCAGGCTCAGTGACAGATCCTGTCTCGAGGGAACAAGGAAGAAGTGTTAGAGTAGGAAAACCAAGTTCTCTGGCCTTTGTGCATAGCTGTGTGCACCCGACACACACATGGCGTGAAAATGTTATTCACTTTACTTATGGACAGTTTTTTTTTTTAGGTCTCACCCTTACTGTTTATATTTGTGTGTGTGTGTGTGTGTGTGTGTGTGTGTGTGTGTGTGTGTATGTGTGTACTTGTTCATGTATTCATGTGTGTGTAGATGCAAGTGCACTTGTGTGCATATGTGGTTTTGGAGATCAAAGGACAACTTGAGTAGTGTTCCTCAGAGGCCATCTGCCTTATTTTTTGAGACAGTGTCTCTCACTTGCTTGGAACTTCCAATTAGGCCTGGATGGCCCCTGAGCCCCAGGGATCCATCTTCAGCTGCCTCTCCAAGTGCTGGAGTTTCAAGCACATGTCACCAAGCAGCTTTTTACATGAGTTCTGGGGATCAGTTTCCAATCTCCATGGTTTTGAGACACGTACTTCACCAACTGATGCTTTTTCGATTTTAAGGCAAGGCAAGTGCCTCTCGGTCTGACACTCAGTTCTGGCTTTCTCTAGGTGTAAGGACTGAGGTTCAGAGAGAATGAGGCACTCAAGTGGACGGGTAATGTGGAGAGAACATGAAACAGAGAGGCTCCCTGCTCTCCTAGAGCTCACATCCTTAACAACCTTCAATCCAACAACCCATGACAGGGTCACCTGGTCAGGAACCCTTTTTGCAACATGGTGGCCTACTAGGACCCACCTTGATAGCCGGGATCCACCAAGTCCATCACACTCCCCTTCATCACACTCTGATCTCTGTTGTCTCCAGGGATGGGATGGGGTGGAAGGTATAGGCAGGTGACCATGCACTAGGTTCCACGGAATGTGATCCGCAAGCCACGTCTGGGTTCACGTTTCACTGGACTGGAGGAGAGGCGTGGCAGAGACTGACCCAGTCCTGTGAACTCCTTTCCCATGCACCTCAGGGCTCTGGGAGAACAGTAGGCTAGGAACTGCCTGTAATTTGCTCTCAGGAAAGCCTGAACCTGGGTCCTCTGGACTTGGGGGGCCTCTTTGTTCTCTTGAATCTGCTTTGGGACTCTTGTTCTCTCACCTGCAGGATCCCTCCGTCCCTCAGTTAAGCAAATACACGTAGTCCTCATGCTGCGATAGGGAGTTGGGGGGTGTGTGTGTGTTCCTGTTTCTTGGCCACTCTTGTCCTCTCCAGCTACAGCAACATCTTCAAGTGGGGCACTCCTGGAAATGTTGTTTTCAGGCTGAGGACAAGCATTTGGGCACACCGAGTGGTTTCTTTGATTTCTCTCAGCCAACCAAGTCCAAGATCCAAGGTATGAAAAGTTTTGGCTTCATAATGAGACGGATCTGCATCTCAGCTTTGCCTCTTCCCAGCTGTGTGACCTTGCTCAAGCTGCTTACCCCCTCTGAATCTGTTTCCTCATCTGTGGAGTGGGAGGGTGGAGGGGGATTCAGTACCTGCCGGGTGGATCGGCAGTGAAGGGTAAATTAGACAGCCCGTAGGTGCTCGGTAAATGACAACGTTCATTACCGTGTGGGAGAGAAGCAAGATGAGAGGGGGAGCCGAGCAGGCTTCCTCCGGCAGGCAGCTGTTGTTCTAATGCACGATCTCTGCTCCGAGTCGCTCAGTGACCTCGGATTCAAAGTCAACACCCAAAGCAGGTGCTGCCTCCTCACCTTCCCCCTCTGCCTCACCTGCAGCCACACCCTGGTAGCTCCAAGGCCCCGGGAAGCCCCTGGGCTGCTCTGCAAATCCCAGACCCACTTTCACCCCACTGACCACCTTCAGGAATGCACCCCTGTGCACATCTTCCTGCCTTACTCTTGTCCTGGCTCAATGCTGTGCCCTTACAGAAGCCTGCCTTGGCCACTCCGGTGTCTGTCAGCGGCAGCCCACTCTCTTCTTTTCTTCTTCTTCTTCCTCCTCCTCCTCCTCCTCCTCCTCTTCCTCCTCCTCAATCCTTGCTTCATGTCCCCCACAGGCTGACCACTATTCAACTCCTTTTTAGTTGACTGTCTCCACTGGCAGAATACTGTCCTCAGAGACACAGACTTTGACCTTGGTGTGTATATTCATAGCGATCCCCAGTGCCCAGGCCTCGAAGCAGGTATTTGATGTTATTTTGAATGTATACCTTAAAGACTGGAGAATTAGGTTCTGACTAGTCCAGGTAAGGGGACAGCCCTGTGGCATGAAGAAGCCATCACTCTCCTTTCCCAAATGAGAGAATTAGATTAGATCTTCAGGAGATCATGAACCCATGCATGAACACAGTAGTGGGTGAGTCCCTTCTGCAGGGTTTTTGGAAGCCAGGGTCTCTAGCTTCTTGCAGACATTAAGAACACACACACACACACACACACACACACACACACACACACACACACACACAAGGCAACGAGCCCTCTCCTTGCCCTGACATTTCCTGATTGGTTCTAATAAGCTGGAGTCTTTGCTTTCTAAGAACCTCATGGAATGTGACATTCTGGGAATACTCAAGTCTCAGCAAGCAGCCAGTGGTCCTGGCTCAGGGCAGGGAGGAACACTCAAGAGGAGCCTAGGCAGGGTCGGCAGGAGAGAGGTACCTACAGGGACACAGAAAGGGAGAGAAAAGCCCCCTTCTGTGTGATTTGTCAGTTTTTCGTTCTTTTATTTCAAAGAAAACAGATTTAGAACAAGCATAAGAAAATGTGAACAATTGTAAATGCTGGAGACTGGGTACAGAGACATTTATCACCGAGCTGTTTTCATACTCAGAAAGACCTTCATACAGATTTGACGGGGGAATAAGATTATTATAGCTGCTGGTTGGCAACAGAGTCCATTTTGAGGGCCTGGGGACTTGCCCTTGGGTGTTTTTGCAGTGTGTGTGAACAGAGGGCATAGCTGTGACTGAGCTGGAACCTAGCGCTATCAGAGCCCTGGCTCCTCCTTGCAGGTCTCAGTTTCCTGCTTTCTGAGGAGTGGGGAAAGGCTGAGGGGCCCCATGCTGGGATGAAGCTAATTCATTAGTGACACCTCAGCAGGGACCAGGCTCCTGCAGTGCCAGCGTGACTCATTGAGATGATTGCTTCACCGCCAGTCTGCGTGGGCCCTGAACGCAGCAGCACATTTTACCTTTACCCACTGAGAAGGGCCTGGTGGGAGGTAAAGGTACAGGATCTACCCAGAACAAGAAAAAGACCTAGAGGAAGCGGAGGGCTGGCCTCCATGCTCCTAACCCCAGGAGCAATGCCTGGCTGGTACCGGAGTGGAGGCATTCACAGGGCTTCTGGGATGCCCACAGAGTCCAGGAGGGCTGCCTGGCGTGGCAGTGCCAGCCTGAGCATGTGGTGAGGGTGGGCTGACTGGATTCCCTCCTCCACATCGAATGTCCCTTGGTAAAGATGCTGAAGAGATGTGGGGGGTTGGGAGATACTCATGCCTGGCTGGGTCTGCCCTGGATTTCTGGTATGTGAGTGCCCACCTCCTCTGAGAAATCTTCTCAAGTAAGGAGAAGGGAAAGTGTTGTGTTGGGATTTAACATGGTCTAGGAACTTGAGGGACTTGAACCCTATCTAGCCGGGGATGAGGATCTATCCCTCTGGGGTCTGATGTCTGGGCTTGGCTGGACATGGATCCCTTACCTTGGCTGTGGTCCTCACATATTTTATTAGTACATGGCTGTTTCCTAGTAACAGCCTGCTTCTGTCTGTGTCTCCCAGTATCTGCTCACCCCAAGAAACCCCTTGCTTGAAGACCACTGGTGCTCTGCCCTTCTGGCCCTTTAGCTAACAAATATCTATAAGGATCAGAGAAATGGAAGCCAGGAGTGAAAAAAGGATTTGCTGGATGGTTTCATCCCTAGGAAATTCAAAAGCAAGCCAAGTTGACCCCTGATGATAGAGGTCATGATCAAAGCTGCTTCTGGGATGTGAAAGAGGCGTGAGGGAACTTTTGAACTTTAGAAATGGAACATGAGGGCTGGGGATGTAGCACAATTAGTAGGGCGCTTTGCCTAGCGTGCTCAAGGCTCTGGGTTTGATCCCCACATCGTATAGTCAGAACGCAGAGGCGCACACCTGTAATCCCAGCATTAGGGAGGTGGGAGGACCAGAAATTTGGTGACCTGGTGACCTATTGAGGTGTAGGCTAGCCTGAGCTGTGCGAGACTCACAAAGGAACAAAAACTTAAACAAGGTGTGTGTGTGTGGGAGCCCGTGACAGCACAGGTACACACATTTGTCAAAATACACTCAATAGCACTGAAGGACGCCCCAAGCCCTTCCTTCTTTATAGCATTATTTTTTAGTTTTCTGATAGGTTCTTACTATGCTGCCCAGTCTGGTTAACATAGCAGGGGTGACAAGGGTGAGTCACCCTAACCCCCTTTCATTGCCTCCATTCTGAGACAAGGGCTTTCTGTGAACCCTGTTAGCCTTTAATCACTATATAGCTTAGGCTGACTTGAACTTGCAAAAATCCTCCAACTTCTGCTCTGAAAGTTCCCGGATTACAGGCCTGAGCCACCACACCTGGGTTCTTGCTGTATGTTGTTGCTCAGGCTGGTTGACAGCTAGGATTACAGAGGTGAATCGATGTGTCTTCCTTCCACTGTCTTAATGTTAAAATTGTCGGGGCAGTAGGGATGGTTTGGAGGACACTAAGGTCTGTCGGGTCAGAGCAGGCAAGGGGAGGAGGTGTGAGGTCTGCTGACTGAGTTCCTAGGTTGCTGCACAACCCTCTAGAAGGTTTGCCTAATTCCTGGAGGCTGCTTTCCTCCTCGTTTCTATGGGATTACTGATTCCTTTCTCCTGGTTTTTGTATTGTGAGTCAGAAACTCTGTTGAGGAAAAATTCACCGGAGGGGTGGGGTGGAACGATGTGTTTTCTTTTGCTGGGAAGTTATATGGTTAGGAATTTGGGCTCTCGAGTCACACGAACGCCGGTTTTTTTGGTCAACCAGCTTAAGTCCAATCGCTATATCTATCTTTAAAATATGGGGAGTAGCTTTTAGCAAAGTGCCGGGCACGTGGAGCGTTGGCAGAGTGGCAGGGGAGGAGGCGGGTCAAAAGGCTGTTGGTGAGTCACAGAACCAAGGTGATTATCGTTGGTGGCACTCAAAGGTGGTCACTTGTTCCAGTCCTCCGCCCACCATAGCCACACACAGACTTTGGGTATCCTCGGAGGGGCCCAGATAGGAGCTGCGGGTTTGGAGTGGGAAAGCACCAGCAACGGGCGGAACCCGGCGAGGGCGGAGTCAAGCACAGTCCCGCAAATCCTCAGATCTAAGAAAGGCCAGAACATAGCATCGTTCCTAGTTAGTCCAACATAGTCTTGAAGTGACCGTCCCCCCCTTCCTGCGACTGGGCGACTGGCAACACGCTGCTGGACGGGAACGAAAAAGCAAGTGACCTCGCCTTCAGGTCCTCCTCCAGTACCCTTCCTCCATTTCTTCAGTCCCAGGTTCCTTTCTCCTGGGCCCAAGAGCCTTGAGGCACACACAGCTATATCAAATGGCCGGCTGAGGCAGGTGTAGATAAGTGTCGGACGTCGGGGCTCAGCGCTAGCCCTGTGCTAGGTTTGCGCTCAGCGGCTGCCTCGGCTCGCGCTAGCTCCGGGAAGGGCTAGCTAGCTAGGGACCCGCTTCAGCTTCGGGACCCCACTCTTGCAGGCCGCCTTGGCCCCGCCCCACCCCGCCCTCCCTCTGCCTCATTGGCAGCCGCACGCGCGTCGGGGGTTGCCAAGGCGACGGGTCGCTAAGCTGCGAGTCAGCTCGAACTCGAGCCAGTCGGCCTCTGGCGGAGGCAGCGGGGGAGGCCAGAGGGCGGGCGGCCGAAC